GCTGGTGTCACCACCGAAGTCAAGTCCGTGGAAATGCACCACGAACAGTTGGTTGAAGGTGTCCCAGGTGACAACGTCGGGTTCAACGTCAAGAACGTTTCCGTCAAGGAAATCAGAAGAGGTAACGTCTGTGGTGACTCCAAGAACGATCCACCAAAGGGTTGCGCTTCTTTCAACGCCCAGGTTATTGTCTTGAACCACCCAGGTCAGGTCTCCAACGGTTACTCTCCAGTCTTGGATTGTCACACCGCCCACATTGCCTGTAAGTTCGAGGAATTGTTGACCAAGATCGACAGAAGAACCGGTAAGACTCAGGAAGAATTCCCTAAGTTCATCAAGTCTGGTGACGCTGCCATTGTCAAGATGATCCCAACCAAGCCAATGTGTGTTGAGGCCTTCACTGACTACCCACCATTGGGTAGATTCGCCGTCAGAGACATGAGACAGACCGTTGCCGTCGGTGTCATCAAGTCTGTTGACAAGACCGAAAAGGCTGGTAAGGTTACCAAGGCTGCTGTCAAGGCTGGTGCCAAGAAGTAAATAATTTAAATACCTCTATCTTTGTTATTTAATCTAGTTAGTGTAAATTTCCGTCGTATAACCTTTATGGGTACACTGTAGACAGTTGTACACGTGTTTGGTTGCCAATTCTAATACGGTTATCCAGCATGTCGCTGGGGTAGGAATATTGGGCTTATCATAAATCACCTCTTATTAGCCCTCTGTTGCGTTTGTAGTTACTGTACATCAGGAATGAGGGGGCACCGTTAGGTGTGGTACGGGTTTCGTTTCTCCAACAAAGGTTGTATAGTGTAGTGGTTATCACTGTTGGTTCTGATCCAATAAACCCCGGTTCGAATCCGGGTACGACCTTATGTTTTTGTCACCCCATTATGGTGACTCCTAACATTTCCGTTTCACTATGCCTGTTACAGAGACGGGAATACCTGTATTCAGTTAATTTCTGTTTTGCAGTAGATTAAGCAGTCAGGGAATGACACTAGATGCTCTCAGGTATACCACCCGATATCCGGAAAAGATAGAAAGTGGATACTAAGCTGTCCCCATACCAAGTTGGCTACACAGGCTTTTCCAATAAAATCATATATTTGTCCCTACAAGGACTTTGAAAGAAAATTTAACTAAAACATATTAGGGCCGAACCAACGATTCTGGGACACAAGCAGCAGTAGAAGGCCTAGGAAATCACTTCACCTGCTTGACCTTCTTATCGTCACCATAGGCCTTAGTGGCGTACTCACCCTCGAGCAAGATGACATCCTGTGGCCTGTAGTCGTACTTCTCGGTCAAGAACGAGTTCAAGATGCTCTTTGCCCCTTCGGCATATCTTTTTTGGGCATCCAAGGTGGTACCGGAGTAGTGAGGCGTCATGGCGTTACCAGCACCGTACTTGTTTCTCATGTCTCTCCAAGGGTGGTCCTTTGGAGCCGGCTGCTTATTCCAGACATCACCACCGTAGCCTCTCAATTGACCGGATTTCACAGCCGCGGCCACGTCTTCAGCTACACAAATGGCTCCCCTGGCGGTGTTGACCAACCAGGCACCCTTCTTGAATTTGGACAACAAAGCCGCATTCACCAAGCCCAAGGTACCCGCGTGTAAGGGACAGTTGACGGTGACAATGTCGGCCTGGGCCACCAATTCTTCGATCGATTCAACTCTTCTGGCACCGACCTTGTCTTCCAACTCTTTGGACAAACCCTGATAATCGTAGTAGATCAACTCCTTGGGGTTGAATGGAACCAATCTCTCCAAAACCCTGTAGCCGATTCTACCAGCACCGATGGTGGCAATGGTCTTTCCTTCGACATCGTAGGCATCCTTGGCGATGGCAGCAACATCCCAGTCGTGGTCAATGATCTGCTCGTGAGCTGGAACAAAGTTTCTCACAAGCACCAACATGGTCATGACAACGTGCTCTGCGACAGATACAACGTTGGAGCCGGTTACTTCCAACACGGAAATCTTCTTCCCAGACTTGTTGATGTAGTCCAAGTCAATATGGTCGGAGCCCACACCGGCAACCACCAACAACTTCAACTTGACGGCCTTGTCGATTCTCTCCTTGGTGATGTAGGCTGGATGGAACGGCGTGGAGATGATGATGTCAGCATCGGGGATGTGCTTGTCCAAAGCGGAGCTGGACCCCTCCTTGTCAGAGGTGGTGACCAATTCGTGGCCTTGGTCTTCCAACCACTTGCGGATGCCCAACTCGTTCTCGGTGCAGCCGTATAACTTTGGCTCGTCAGCGGCATGCTTGCCGGCGTCATATAAACATAAAAGGACTTTCATGGTTGGTTAATTGTTTGGATATCTGTGCTCTTGAGAGGTGGAGGGTGATGATGAGATAGGAAGAGGTAATTCAAGAAGGGAAGCTTTCGTCCCTTTATATAGTGTGTGGATACTATAATTCAGGGATAGGAGTGAAATGGTCATGCACTAAATCCAACCCCAGTAAGGTGTACGGTACATCTGAGCCATGTCACATAGAGTTTAATTAGAGTATAGTTTACGGCACAACCCAAACAGAGGAAAGACCGCGGAACGCTAGTGGCTTGCTGCCCCGAATGGTTTAGTGAGGGGCTGAACCTCGGGAGCAGATTAGCGTTTGGGGATAGAGGGAGAATACAATGCCGGCTAGCACACATACGTCAACTAACGGAGGGATATCCCGCACTGTTTTGGAAAAGGAGCCCACCATGGCTAGCCACGGCAATCCGGACGGTACTGCTACCTTTTCTTCATATTCCGAAGTTTCATTACGTGGACACAATTTTCACATCCGCGCCATTAATATGTGAATGATGCACAACGGATAAATTTAGAATGTGGGGTAGCGTTTCGCGACTTCCTTTCTGTTTGTACATGACAAGTGATGCGCCCCCATACAGCAACAAACTTTAACCCGTAGGATGTCTTTTCCTTATCTAAATATGCATTTTTATCTAGTGAATGAGAGTGGCTCAGGTCCGAAATTGTCCAACCGGAATAAACCAAGCCAAATAGGAGGTTAGTTCATACCCAAGAACAAGCACTCATGAAAAACGTATTTATTCAATTTTTCCGCCAATTCCATGATATGAGCTTTAGGCGCACCAGGCAAGAAAGATGTATTAGGTATTCTCCGGAGAGGTGACTTGCCTAAAAGAGAGTGGTACTAAGTGTCTCAACGATAAGATACATATGAATTCCTGGCAATAGACATGCTATGTACCCATTCTATCATCGTTTCATCTCAGAAAAACAAGACATTTCGTTCTCATTTTCTGAATGAGATAGGGTTATTGGTGCATTTCGGCCTTGTCGGTTACCCTATGGATTTTAGTGGCTCTCCATGATGGAATATATGCAGGCCTAATAGGAGCCTGCATGCAAGGTATAGGTATGTTTCCCAAAAGGGACATCAACCCGAGACTTTTTCCAACTGTGGGGACAGTAGAGGGTAGACTGACCTCATCAAGGCTGCTACCAGGATACGCTCAGAATAGGGTATAAATACCATAACAGCCTAGAGAACATCACACACATTCCATATTACGGTTGATTTAAAGCACCCAGCTCAATTGAAGTATCCACTGATTCCAAGCCATCATGTCTGACGTTACTACTGCTCTCGATCAAAAATGGTGGAAGAACGCTACCGTTTACCAGATCTGGCCCGCTTCTTACAAAGATTCCAACGGTGACGGTGTGGGTGACATTCCAGGTATAATCTCCACCTTAGACTATGTCAAAGATTTGGGTGTGGATGTGGTCTGGCTCTCCCCAATGTTTGACTCTCCTCAAGACGACATGGGGTACGATATTTCCAACTACGAAGGGATCTACCCAAAGTACGGTACCATGACCGATATGGACAACCTCATTGAAGAGACCCACAAGAGGGGGATGAAATTGATCTTAGATTTGGTCATCAATCACACATCTAGTGAGCATGACTGGTTCAAAGAATCCAGATCATCCAAGACCAA